AGATTAAAAAAAAAAAAAGCATTAGACAATAAAAGTTAATCGTAATATGTAATTAAGTAGCAGTGAAGAAAATAACCTAGTTTTCTCCATAGCTCAAAGGATGTCAGTCTGTATACATTTTTTTCATCTTCATAACACAGATTGTAGGAAACCGAGGCCTAGACAGAAGAAGCTGGGGCTATGTATGTCAAGTGTTCTGGAGATCTTCACAAAACTCAGCAGGGCTCTCCATGGGACTCACCCTGAACCCACTATGACCGGCAGTGGAAGGGCTCCCATTACTGAGCAATGACTCTGTCTTTGTGTTTCTCTTCTTCTGACTTCCTGTTATGTATATGTTGCTGTACGGAGGGGAATATACACCAGTCCTTAGCTGTGCCCAGAGTTTGAAGGAAAAAATATCATTATTCCAGACTACGTACTACCACTGTTATTGCTGTTCTTAAATTTTGACATCACTCTTACTGCCTTTGTATGCAGGTGATCATTGTGTAGCACTTTTTAGTCTACAAAAGCTGGATTCTTTAATATGTTCCCTTTATATAATTTAAAGAGAGGAAATTTGTTAAAACACTAGACACATTATTGTCTGAAAGGGGCATTCTCATGGGTGAATGTGAATAATAACATCTACAAATGCAAATAGTCCTTGAAAAATTGATCTGTGCAGGTGATATCTACCCACTGTTCATATGTGGATGAAAATCTATGGACAACTGCAATTCACTTATACTTGCAGGTCCATTGGGTGTGCAGCCTGAAGGCTGGACTGCTGTGCATTTCACAGTTTGACCAATATTTTGTATTGAGTGCTTTACATACAAACACGGTAAGTTGGTTTTGCTGTCGTATTAATATTTCCTTAAAATATATTTTCAGTGATTGTAGTACACTACAAAAGCAATGAGACAAAAACTGCTCAGTACCACACCTGAATGACTCCTACAAAAGTCCATCAATGTCAATGGCATTACATTGCTTTTCCTTTGTTCCTAGAACATATGCAGCCCAGCTTAGGCTAATGTGCATGTGACAAGTGATGTAATGATAGCCCCTTCAGCTGAACACAATCTCATGCAAACTGTGAAACCTCAACAGCTAACAAAAACCACTGAAAAATACAATGCTGCTTCTAAATCCAGAACTCACTATTTTGCAACGGTGCTCATATAATGGGAAAAGGTTGCTAGTCCATCAGCATAAAAGTGACCATAGGTCAAAGAAACAAGTATAGGTATTTATGTACAAGCATCATACATTTTTAACCCCCAGTTTTCTTTGGAGAGTTTTCCACTTGCCATTCCAACACTTTCCCTTTTCCAGATTGAGGGCACTGCTGCCCACGGAGATGCCTATTTAGGAGGGGTTGACAGATGGAAGGACCCTTCAGCTGTCCCACAGCTATATGCTTTACTGTAGTCAGTGCTCCAGCAGTTAAGTAGCTGCAGACTCGGTTAAGCAATGTCATGATTTTCCCTCCTTCCAGCTTTCACTTCCCTCACCTTACAGTGATGTCTCTAAAACAAGAGCAAAAAACCTGCTCTTCAGAGCTCTCAGAACACACTTACTGTTGTATTTTTCCTTTTGGGGAAGAAGCATCTTTATGTCTGCTGTGCAGAGTAATGAAAGAAGATGATATTTGATGCAATGACAATGTACTAATCACTGAGAAGTGGGCTAAAAGCTATGAAATACTCAGTGTAATCTCTTTGAGGCAAAAAGCATCTTTTTATTTTTCATTTGTACAGCTATTAGCACAATTGGGTTCTGGCTGACAGCTACTACTGCCACACTACTAGAACTAGTTATTGCCTTTGTCTTATTTATTAGGTTTGTTATTATAGGGACTGTTATTACAGTGGGATTTAATTAAACAACATACAATGAAAACTGAAACATCTTCACTATTCTCTATTTTCTAAAAAAACTATTTCTCAGTAAATCTATTCCACTACTTCCATTTTCAAAGAAGACTCAGATGTCAGCATACAGAAAATCACAATGCTATGCAGTGGAAGGTACATTATATGCAGAACAAATAACTTTAAACCCATGGACCCAACTGCTTATTAGTCACATACTTTTTGTGCTTTGTGCTCACCATTTGGCAACATTTATCATTAATGATCACATAAACATATTTGAAAGCCTTTGTAACATCCTGGATTTAGGATGATGGAAAATTCAGAACTATTGTATATTTATATTATACATTCACATTACAGAAATATTCAGTACCTAATGACAAATGCTACATGGAGATTTTGTTTGCAGGGTTTTCTTGGGTTTTCCCTCCTTTTTTTCTGCTTTCAACTCTTTTGATTCTACCAATTCCCCATTCAGCAGCCAACAGTTGTATTAGAATTAAATTACACTTCCAAAATTATCACTTAAAATTAGAAATTTGGCCTAGAAAGCTGAATAAAATATAATTTACTGAAGGTATTCCAATGTTTTCATTATGAGTTGCTGACTAGTGTAATATAATAAAGTAATATAATGTGTGGCATTTATAAATCAAGCCTCATTTCAAAAAGGATCCAGTCTGCTTTAATAATGTTCTTACTTCCCTTTTGTGTCATCTCTCTTTTGTTCCTGTGTTTGTATGTGTGATATACATGTTGTTTAAATATTCTGGGTATATGAAGTATCTCTGTTTTTCTAAATGAGTAATTTTAATACCTGGAAAAATATCATCCCTTTTGGTTCGGAATACAGCAGCTCTTCAACAAAGCAGTTACATAACAATTCGCAATGTTAAAAAATTTAAGGAAAATAGCTTCTAATGAAGACCAGTACTTTTTTATCTACCTCTTAGTTTGTCAGGTGAAGAAACTATATATTTAAACTAATCAAAATATCTAAGTCACAGTGGCTGATGTGGACTGTTTAATGTGTGACAGGAGATTTGCCATGTCACAATAGTATACAGCAGTTTCACAGCCTTAGAGAAAACAAGATGAGTGGCTCACCTGTACTGTTAAAGACTGTAATCCTTTCAAAATGAAGGACATCATCTTTGAAATAAGACTGATCATTTAAGATAAAATGTCTCAGAGTAGGGAAATGGAATCATTTTGCATCACTAGTTTCTCAAAAGCTTTGCTCCCGAAAGAAATCTTGTGGTCTTTGTAGCAGCACTATAATGTTCCATTAATATAGCCAATCCATTTCTTTCCTTTCTATTACTCTCAAGGTGAGAAATTAGTTTCCTATAGCCCCAAATAACCCTGGACCCTAGAGGAAACAGACATGTGTATTGCCTTCAGCTTTGGGCAAAGCTGTCCAAGTCTGGTGTGGCCTACCTAAATAAAGAACAAAAGGAGAGAAATACTGTCACTGGCAGCCATGTTTTAATCAAAAATATCTCCTGTAAACACTGATTTATTTGATAAATTTAGTTAATATTTATGATTATGTGATAAAAGACCTACATTTCTGTCAGACAGTTGACACTACCACAAAAAGCTTTCAGTTCATTAGACTAGCACATAAAAATACAAGTGAAAAATCTTGCTGAGTTTGGAGGAGCTGACAGATCCCAAACACTTACTGTTAATGGGAAAGCATTATCAATAGGGATTGTTCCTCTGAGGTTCTTAAGGGGTCAGTGCCGGATTCAACCACTCATTCTTCTGTTCTAGCCCTTGAAGTATATGTACAACCACTGTCTTAGAACTTTCCCGTTGCAGAAAGTTTGGCAGAATGGCCAATAGAGAAGACAAGACAGTCAGACAAAGCTCTCTGAATCACCCTGTAACCTGGATTCATTACCTTTACATTTCTGGCACAGCAGAACCAGAAGATGAATGCCTCTTTCCTGTTCTCCTAACACAACAGGCAGCAGCATTTGCTCTGCCTGAGTGTGACTGAGTGTTGCCTTTCAACTGTGACAATGTGAAATTTGCTTTGGATTACGTTGTCCCATAAACATAACAACTCGCAGTGCTTTAATACCACCACCAGCAGGTATCTAACCATAAGTAATGAAGGTCACGGAGTACCCTGGAACCATAGTTTCCAGAAAGGTTTAGGAATCAGCATAGATCAACATGAGCTCAGCAAAACAAGATGTGTTGCATTTAAACAAGGTGGTAATGATGTGGCATGGAGTTGAATGCTACCCTTCTGCTTGATGTTACTTCGAGTAAAATGCTAGGCCAACTTCCAGCACAGATTTTTTTTTTTTTAATATGTTGAAAAAGTGGTGACAACACAGAAAAATTTGGAAATTATTCTATTGTTGAGGGAAAAAAAATAATTCAGTCTGTTTTGCTTGTTGTAATGATGGCTGCAAGGTGCTTTTATTAAAGTATGTATGCACTTTTAGAGGCAAGAATTTGGAGCATGTAAGAGTTCCTAATCGGTGAGACAAGAGTAATAGACAGAGAAATCCAGAATAGAATTGGAACACTGGGGTTTTTTTTGATGAGAAGGGAAATTAAATGTAGCAGGGGGAAAAAAAAAAAGCAGCTAAAGAAATAGTAAGTTCTTTATCTTTTTTATGGCTTCAAATTAAGGCTTAAAATGGTTACTGCAATACAGGAACAACAACTGAAATTATTTTCACTGTAATACCACAACTAGTTTATAACCGCAGCCTGTTTAATTCTTATCAGTGACAAAATTGTGATGTCAACTAAGGCAAAGGTGGTTTAGGTTGGGTACTAGAAAAATAGGTAATGGGATCATGATGTACATTGGGAGATTGCAGGATGCCTTGCACTGAGAGGTTTTAGGATCAAGCCATGGGCTCTGAGTGCGTATCTTTCTTCCTGAATACAAGGGGACACTCCACATGAGTACTTAAGAGCCCTTCTGCTGTTGTCATTGAGTTGTCAACAACATATCATGGCTCTTATGTGTATTTCATAATAGTCCTATAATGAGGTGAAGCATTTGTTTCTCATTAAACAGAATTTGGCCTAGACAGGACTATACTGCTTTTGCTTGCCTGGCTGTTTGTGGACATAACTTGCCTTGCTCTCTTCCTCTCACAGGTTTATTCCTGAGGCTTGGTCCACTTGTAGTGTCACCTGTGGAGTGGGCAGCCAGGTGCGGCTTGTGAAATGTCAAGTGCTCCTCTCTTTCTCTCAGTCTGTGGCTGACTTGCCCATCGATGAATGTGAAGGACCCAAACCTGCGTCTCAGCGAGCCTGTTACAGTGGTCCCTGCAGTGGGGACGCAACCGAAGATACCCCAGAGGAAACTGAGCTGTTGTATGGCAGCTTGCAGGAGTTTGATGAGCTCTATGACTGGGAATATGAGGGCTTTACTGAATGTTCAGAGTCCTGTGGAGGAGGTAAGTACACAACGTTTCTGTGCTGAATTTGCTTTCCCTCTTGAAGTATGTGCTTTGCAGTTAATATCCATGGATACGCTGCTTTGCTGCAGCTATTTAGAATCATAGAATCATGTAGGTTGGAAAAGACCTTTAAGATCATCAAGTCCAAGCATAAGATCATCTAGTCTAACCATGTTTGAAAAGACATGGATGAAAACTTTGAAAAAAACCCATATGCACAACATGGTTTAGCTGAAGACTTTCAGGCTTCATGCTCAGGCTGTCACCAAGAGTGATCAATGTATCACATATTTATGTTTCCTCGTATCAGCTGATAACTCAAAAGGCATTTACGCAAAAAAGCAGAATGTTGAAGTGGTCTGGTGATACAGGCTAAGAATCACGTGTTATTTTTAATTCTTATCTCTTGATTTGTACTATGCAAGTATAAACATGCAGAAGTAAATTGTCCTCCCATAGCAGACATATTAAAATATTGATATTCTAAGGGCTCAGCTGGTTCCCTAACTCCTATCACTAAGTGACATTAGCTCCAATCCCAACGCGAAAGAAAACATATGGTTAGAAGCCACTAATGGTGTGATTGTCTGAAGCTAGCAGGCTTGGCACTTGGAGTTTATCAAAGCTAATAAAGGTCTCAGGTTTCACGTGTTATAGGCTACTAATGCACAGTTCTCTGATACTCCTTTTTTCCCATGATTTTGTCTAGCTAGGTCTGAGGAATATGTCCATTCCAGTACTTTTTAAAAAGGTGCTGTCTTATTACATTACAAGTTTTAGGCTGTTTAAAAAAGGACTTCTACAGAAAAATATAGAATAGATACTGTAGAACTGGAAATCACTCAGTGCTTTATGAATGGTTAATAGGGTGATCTGTACAGATTCACCAGTAATCAATTATAAACTTGCAAAGCACATTTAGTAGAAAATAATGCAAGGGTTTTCTGTGCTTACTTTTAGCTTTCTGATGGTAGTTAGTGTTTAAAGCAGTTCACAAAGAGCTGTCAAACCATTGCCACTATTGCTTTGTTTCCTCATAAAAAATATGACTGTATGCTAAGCAGTGATGAATACTGACTTTACAGGAGTACCTGTCATATATTGACGCTATTAGTAACAATTTGTCACACTTACATTGCGAATACTGAAACCTGAATAGAAATATCCTCTTGAAATTAAGTCTTTCCATATAGTGCCTATGTGTGTATTTTTCAACTGTAACTCACATATACTGATAAGAAAGAGACATTTTGCTTTATAAATTTAATCTCTTTCAATTGTCAGCAATAATTGTTAGCCAAGATTTCTTTTTGTCAGACATCAACTCCAAATTTTGCAGATTAGCAGATGCTAAGTCAGATATTTTCATAGCCATAGGTGCAAGACTGGTCAAAATAATTTTATTGGTTTTGGAGTCTCAAGAGAAGAAATTGGATAGATGCAGAAGTAACCTTTCACCTCCCAGAAGTAGGAACCAGAAGGAATTAGTTAGTCATTTAGTCTGCTGTTAGTGGCTTTATTCCCCAGAGCTGTCATCAAATATCATGTAACAATTATTCTATTCTGGTAGATGTAAACACAGAAAATCTCATTTGATGGTATTTTGAAAGTGAACTTAAACTGCTTAGATTCACGTCCCACCCTTACACCCTTTCATACTATGATTTCCTACTGAGAACTAAATTATTTTTTTCAGAGAAAGCAATTTTAAAGCAGACAGCTTTTTCTTCTGATAATATTATGCAGTGAATAATATTTAGAATTCAGTTACTTGGCAAATAAACTTCCTGAAGTCCATGTACTTTTTAAAGTTATCTCTGTACCATGGAACTTCTGACAGATAATCAAGGATCTTTGTATTCTCTAAACATTCAATTATCCATCCTTGATCTAAAGAGGACCTATCAAAAACAGAGGGACAGATGTTATCAGTGTTCTGAGACACACTCAGTGCAAGATTCAAGGAGAAGCTCAAGAAAGTAATTCTGAGCACACTGGTTTGCTGCTGGAGCAAGCCAGATTTTTTTGGTCCTTTAAGTTGCTGATACAAGCTATTAGAGCCAATGCATAGTCTAGCAACCTCACACCGGTTAAAATCAACACCCTTGCTGTCAGGCAAGATTACTGGTCCTACTGGTACCTTTAAAAGGCAAAAACTTGCAAGAACCTCTGGAAGAATATCATGACAAGCAGAGTAGAATGCTGGTAGGATAGACTAAAATTACTGGAAATACAATCAGAGATGACTTAGGTGACAGGAGTAAGAATGGGGAATGAACTCACTAGGAGGTTTGGGGCAGGCTGAATACTGAAAAGTGAAGAGCAGTATTATAAGAGTTTGGCTGTATGAATTTGATTAAACAAAACCACTCAGAGAAACATCAAACTCAGAGAAACAGGGAAAAGGTTGGATTCAAGAACTTTCAGTCAATCATTTTTGGATAGTCAGCACTGAAACAGACAATGCAAAAATGTTAAAGTAATTGATAATCGTTGGTTAGGAGCTCATTAGTGACACAGAGAGGAGAAACTGAAGTTGTGGAAGTACATTTGATCTCTAAAGAAAAACATCCCGCACGTACAGATGGTAAGCAAACTCTATCCCTAGCAGACAGAATGAGGTCATCATGTGGCAGGACTTGGTGGTTTCTTTCCACAGAGTTAAGGAGAGTACTTTTGCTGTTTCTATGTCTCTGAATTAGCAGTCGTCCTCTGTTGGCTTCATCAGATTGGCCTTGCTGTCAGGCCTGCACAAGTGATCAATTCAAAGTAACTTGAACACAGTAACATTTCCTATCAGGTGGAGAACCATCTCTGTTCTGCAGACAAGAGCAGTCTGTCTTGGGGAATCCTTATGCCTCTGTTTTCTGTACACAAGATGGTAACATGATGAACAGAAAAATATCTGAGCTGGAAAGATACTGAATATGACAGGGTAGAGAACATGTCATTTATGTATAGAAATTTCATTGATTTCCTTTCCTAGAAATAAATCACTGCCATTTGTTTTGTTCTTTCAATGGGTTATGCTTTTCACAATTTTTAAAAGTCTTTTGGGAGCTAACCTGAATAGCAAAATGACTTGAAAATATGAAGCCATCCTGTAAAGAAGGAAACCCATAATAATGTTGACTGGCTTCAGGGACTTTGGTAATTTCGACATTGATGTCCATGTTCAAAACCATCAAATTTCTTTCTTCTCTTCAACAGCTTGAGTATAGTCAAGACACTGACTATCCTTGAGTCACAAGCATGCCCTGAATATGTTTACACACATAGGAGCTGATAAATTGCTCAACATGCCACTTTGCTGTGGGTCTCTCCTTGGCCTGTATCTCAGTACCTCCTCAAATAGGTGGAATGAATCCATTAATAGTTTCAGGAGTACAGGAACGACAATGAGTTGTAGCACTTTGGTCCTGTTGAATAATACATCATTATTTGCCTAATGACAAAGGCTAAGGGAGCTGTGTCTCTTTACCTTGGAGAAGAGGAGACTGAGGGGTGACCTCGTTCATGTTTATAAAGACATAAATGGCGCGTGCCAGGAGGATGGAGCCGGGCTCTTCTCGGTGATGTCCAATGATAAAAAAAGGGGCAACGGGTGCAAACTGGAGCGTAGGAGGTTCCACATTAACAGAAGAAAAACTTTTCCGCTGTGAGGGTGACAGAGCACTGGAACAGGCTGCCCAGAGAGGTTGTGGAGTCTCCTTCTCTGGAGACATTCAAAACGCGCCTCGATGCGTTCCTGTGTGATCTATTTAGGTGGTCCTGCTTGGCAGGGGGGTTGGACTAGATGATCTTTTGAGGTCCCTTCCAACCCCTAACATTCTGTGTTTCTGTGATTCTGTGATTCTGTGACATGTGCTCTGGCATTAGAAACAGCGAAGTGTATTGTCAGTTCTGTTACACTGCTCTTGGAGCTGTTCACACTCTTCCAATGCTTTTTTTTTTTTTTTTTTTTTTTTAAAAAACGTTGGTTTCTTCAAAAGATTGTGAGATATTTTGGAAAACTAATTGTTGGTTTTGAGAAGATGATGCAATTTTTATGAGTACAGTTAATCTTTTCCTAACTCAGGAAGCAGGGATGAATGTAAAAAGTGTATTTCCACTTTGCTTGAACCACTGTGGATTAGATTTTTAAGACATTCAGGCCAATTATTATTCTCAGACCCCCGTGGGGAAGAAGTAGCTCCTCTCTTAATAAGTATTCTTTCCTATTCCTATGCCATGTAGTGTTGCAATCCCTGATTTTCTAGCTTTCTAACCTTGTAATGCAAAAAATCCTGGAATATTCCTACCTCACTCATAAGGAAAGTGAGACAGAGTAACTGGTATGCCAAAGAGCACATACAGAATTTGGTATCACCAAGGGTTTCCTGAGCTAAAACTTAATCATCAAATCTTCCAACTTCTTTCTTAGTCCCAACAGCTACCTTTATTCTGCCACAGCTCTGAAATACACACTGCAGGTTTGCATCTTCAGTTTACGTGCAGGCCTATGGATGCAGAAGAATAACTGAGAGCAGGTGGCTTGTCTGACCATGGTTTGCTTTACTTTTGCACATGTAACAATCATACTGTTGCTTAAAATATAGCATGCTGAAGGCCATCTTCACAGCTTAGCCTGCTCGACTAACAAATAAACAGCCTTATTGCTCTCATAGTGAAAGGATAAGTCACTAGAGACCGCTGGACAATTTTCTGTCCAGGGAAGGTAAGTGATGAATGAACCTAGGGACTTTTCGCTGCAATTGAGACATCTAGTGAGACTGCAAGCAAGGGCAAGTAAAATCCCAGCATCCTATACAGTGCTTTGATCACGCCATCTCCTAGCTGGCTGAGGAACAGGATACAAAGGTGCAGTAAGCAACACATGACTGTGTCCAGAAAATTGCAAAAGTTACAGATTAAAGATTTTCCCAATAAAAGGGAGAAAAGCAATTGCAATTTTCCTTACTCATCAGCTATGCTGCGCCAAGAAACATCGCCCTTTGCTAGGCATTCATAGAATACTCCTCAAAGAGCAGAGTGCTTGGATGTGGACAGCAAACACCTCGCTGCCATGTGGGAAGCTGCCTCCTCTCTCTCTGCTGCTGGGGCTGCAGGCCCTGAGCTGGCAGCCCTAGGTGTGAGGCTGAGCTTCCCCACGTGCAGCAGCCCCAATACAGCTCTGCTGGCCCCACCAAGCCCATCTCTCCCCTCAGCTGCACGTCTGGATATGGAGACCTGGGTGTGACCATGCATTATTGTGTGCAGGTGTCCAGGAGGCTGTGGTGACCTGCCTGAACAAACAAACCAGGGAGACTGTGGACGAGACATTGTGTGTAACCAGCCGCCGTCCTCCACAGCTGCTGAAAGTCTGTAGCCTGGACCCTTGCCCCCCAAGGTAGGCTTCTCATTTATTATCACCAGGCATACATTTTTTTCCAAATTTAACAGCAATGTGAGCACTGATGAAATTGAGAAACTAATCTTCAAGCTCCCCATGCATCTGAGACGTTTGGGGCCAGGGATGCTTGGATCTGGCCATTACTGAAATGACTCCCGAAGTACAGGAGTTAAACATGCAAGCAAGAGCCTGAGATGGCTCCCCAAGTTACCATACCACCAACTCAGCTGTCTGGGGACAGTAGATCTGTGTCACTCCCTCTGGGACTCCTTTTAACCGATGTGAGGTGAACAGAGGAGGTGTAAGTGAGTAAAAATCTGCTGCTGTGTAAGGAAGTGGATTGGTGCAGCTGGGTCAGTGTTGTTATCACAAGTGAGGATACCCAAACCAGGGATCTTCAGTCTTGTCCAGACATCATTTAATGGATTTTCAGGAATCCGTGACAAAAGCAAAACAAATACACAAGTGTGGGTGATATCCAATACCTTTCTCAGAGCCATTTAAACGACACTAGCAGTACAAAAAAAAAATTATTTCAAATAAGTTGTGACCCTGGCCTCAATGGTTTTTCAGTCTGGAGGCATGCACTACCTCACACATGCTCTTTCTCACAATGCAGGGGCTTACAACCCCTTCATGCCTGTCATATTGACTGGGGAGTGCAAAGCAATGGTAAAACCAAAGGGCGAACTTGGGATCGCTTGCTTATACAGGTCCTGTATGCAGACAGTTTATGGATTGGCTTAACTTTAACCAGAGTTGTGTCAAATTTAAAGAGACTTCTCCAACCACTCCTCTCAAAAAAGATTTTGTGGAACCTGTTTTTCCCTGGCCTCAGGCAGCTTCCACAATCCTGACCCTAAAAATAGCAGATCTTTGTGTGCAGAGATTCACATCTGTACCCTCTATGAGAGAAAATAACTGTCATGAGGTTCCTGTGGTTTATTTAAACAGACCTGTGCCTGTCAAGTCTTCAGGATGTGCTGTATACCTATTGTCTTTATTCCCAGCTGTACACAGGTGCACTTGCTCTCTTCTGGTAGTATGGCAGATTTGAAATACATTGATTTATAACTTTGAGCTATTTAAAACACTCAGTGCTGTCCGGGTGGTAGATATTCCTTAAAGTGTACATTAATAGCTGTATGTATGCTTTATATGACAGCAGGCTATACAAAGGTATACTGTTATGAATATTAGTAGATTCTGGGTAGACACAGAAGGTTCACATTAAAAATCAAATACAGCATCAAACAAGGCCAGCATCCAAGAGTGATAAGGACAGAAATAACAATTGATCAGGATTTTGTGCCTGTGAGAAGCAGAGCCAGACAGGCTAATATATTTCACCAAAGCATTACAAGAATTGCTTATGAGGATATTGCAAACCTGACTTTGTTAAATGGTCTGCATTGCTGGCAATAACACGCAAATATTATATTAATGTTTGAAAAGAACTTTGTGGGCGGAAATCTCCTGTTACTGATAGTTAGCAGCATCACTGGAGAGCACGGTAGGAGATTGACCACCCATTGATTCTGACATGGAAAATAAATATACACTGGCTAAGAAAAAGTGAGGCATACTCATGTAGACCAGTATTAATGTGAGTTTTATTACAAAAGCAGTCCGAGAAATTGGGTGAATACTTTTTGAATAAGTCTGTGTGATAATCCATACCACTGTGGTAACCTTGCTACGAGAGCAGAGCTGATTTAAAGCAACCTTGGGCATGAGTTCACTCCATGGATTACAAGATGATTGTACTGCAGGTGAGAACCAGGCCGTGAAGCAGAAGCGAAAAGGGATTGAGGCAGTGGGGGGAGACTAAGAAGCTTTCAGGCACCCCTAGGGCTGCAATTGACAAAAGGGGAAATTACTCCCTTCCCTGTGTATACATATCCTCTCCCTCCAGCCCCCTCAGTCTAGAGGAAACTGCCTGTCTGCAGAGATTTAAGTGGCACAGGATGAGGAACAGCACATGTTCTGCAAAATAGCTCCTCTGATAGGAGCAAGGAGGCCTAAAATCCAAGGCTGCAGACAGCAGGCTGCATGGCTAATGGAAAGAAAGGGAAGAAGGAAAGTTGATGTGTCTCCCAGGCAGGCTGTGACAGGTAACTTCCTTATTTCCTGCAAGGTTCTGAAGTGCTACATCTACTAATGCCACTGTATTAACTAGAATACTATATTAAGTAAATTGATAGTATTTCGTGTATAAAGATTATTGCTTTATAATCATTAATTACAACAGTCTTAAAACTTCCAAAGAGAACACATGAAAAACAAAAAAGGCCTTAGGGTTTTGTCTTTGTTTTAATCATAAGATGCTTCATGATTCTAATTCAAGAAAACTTGACCCAGGAATCTGATGGAAATTTAGGCTAAAATCCTGTCTTTATGAATGCTGATGACTGACAAGTCCAAAACTTGTAATACACTGTGGATGTGAACTTAGATCCCTGTTACAGAAGTTCCCAAAATGCGATCTGTGATCCATTGATACTTCCCACAGCTTTCACTGACAGCTTGTAGAGCGAGCTGGCTGATCTCATAGTCTTGACTCTTCTTGCTGTTTTCCAGCTGCTAAAGTGCATTAATAGAAGCTAAAAATAAAAAACCACTTTCCTAAAATGTCCTTGATGTGTAAATGACTGTTGAAGCATGCAGTTGTGGTGGGTAGAGGAGGCAGCCTGCTGAAAAGGCAACTGAGACAGTGTCAAATGTCTCAGTAGACAAGGGAATGTTGTCCACAGCATGAAGAAAAAGCTCAGAAGTCTGGCCCAAGAGAACAAAAATTCCCTCCTGATATATTTAGAGAAATTATTCCAGTCATGTTTCTCGAACCAAAACAGTCCAGCATGCTTAGAATTTCGTGCGTATATCTAGAATTCAATACAGATTAAGCTGTTGTTTAGCTTTAAAGGGAGAACACTTAAAAACTAGAACTTTCTAGGTAAATGTTGCCTTCACTGCAGGCACTTTTGATTACATGTGGCATTCTCTGTGGCTTTTTAATGGAATAGTCACGTAAGCCTCTCCTGGTTAACAATTAGTTTAGCTGGTTTGATACAGATAAACAAAAGCACTGAACCGCAGAATCTAGTCAGCCTTTCTGGAGGGTCAGAAGGCATACACTTCAAGACAGATATTGTAGGAGTGGTCAGTGAAGAGAAATTTCATTCTGGTTTTGTTTCATCATTCTTTTTGGCACACTTAAGAAGAGTGCTAAAGGGATCTTCTTTTGCTGTTCTTTTTGCTCTTTATTGAGAATAAATGTGCATAGACGAGGAGACTTCATTACTCACTTAATGCTTCACCTTGAAATTAGTCTGTGGTATCATCATCCTCTTCAATTCCTAATTGCTCTGGTCTCTCCTGTAACAAAATACAGAATGAAGCTAGAATATACTGGCAATACTTCAGATTTATGAAAACACTGAAAGGTGATGCTTGTATAGTAGCTGAGAGAGCTTTATAATTGCCATTGAAATTCTGGCTTAATATCTTAGCATATTGTTCTTCTAAGTTGACTGAAGAGAGACAGAAAAACTAAACCACAGAAATCTGTCTTCAAATATTCATAGCTGTATGGAGTCAGCAAAATGTCATACTTAAAAGTCTTACAGAGGCAAGAAGAATAAGGAAGAGTTGCACACAAAAATTGGAAGATTTCATCAATATTCAAATCCCAACACAGCTGAGTTTCCTGTGGTTTCAGACTTTGTTGAGATTTTTTTTTTGCTTATTGCTTCAAGAACAATAGCAGAAAAAGAGCCCAGTCCCTTTTCTCCTGGAAAACAGTATAATAAAAATTCCCATTTTGTACTGAACTAAGGAATAGTGAAACACTGTAGAGCTGATTGTTCAGTTGGGAGCTAACAACTGATTTTCAGCACAGTAGGTACAGAGTAAAATTTCATATCATTAACTTGGTATGCCCTAGTTTGATATTTCTATTGAAAGGATATAACATATTTTGATGCACTGGGAGAACCAGCGTGCTTTCTCCAGGAAAGAGAGGAATGAAGATCATGACCACTTTAATTCAGTCATTCAGTTACCTGATTTCTGTCAACCAAACAGTATCACTTCCAGAATTTCATAGCAGAACTTGAGCAGAGCAGTCTTCCCAGAAGTAAATGCAGAATAGCTGTTCAATGTCCAGAAGTTTCTTCTCTAAGCTCAAAATCAAAAGGGCAGATCACTCAGTTTTGCTAATTGATATATTTGTATTCTAAATTACTCCAGAATCCATCAGAAAAAAACCCTGTTTCAATGTTGGTTTTACTGTTTTCAACCACAAAATGACTCACATCCAAAATGTGTCTTTTCCTCAGCCTCTACAACCCAAAATACAGAGGCAGTCATCATCTAATCAGATATAATTGCTGTTGTTTATAACAGCAACAGCATGAACACCTCATGGTGAGCCAGCAACCTCTACCAAAGGGGTGAAAGAGAATGTTGTAACTGTTCTTAGTTATAACTGCTCAATAGCTTGGTCAGTGTGCGTTGAAAAGATTTGGTAAACATGTATGGAGGAGTGGAGAGAGAAGCAAAGCAATGAAAGCCAGATGGCTGAAAATGGAAGAAATTCCAGGCAATTTCTACAGCTTTGTTCTTGCATATTTTCAAAACTGAACTTTATTCCTGTACAACAAAGAACAGCTGAATGCTATAAAAACAAACAAACAAACAAACAAACAGAAAAGCAACAAAAAAAAAACCCTAACCCCCCAAAAAAAACAGTGAAGAAAAAGCAGACGGTTCTAGGAATAGCACACAATTTCACCCCAACACTCTCTCTTTACTGCTTCAAGCCTCTGTTGTTAGCATGAAAAGATAGGAAATCATCTGAGCGGCCCTGATACCAAACTGAAGCATTAAGATAGCCTGAGTTAGGCTGCAATCTACCTCATTGAACAGTATCATCTTTTCCTTTTTTTTTCCTCTGCATCCGATTGTTTTGTGTTTGTGCAATAAATTACCTGTTCTTA